TTATTATTAAACAATGTTGTGTTATTATGTGCCACAATTTGTGCAATTTCACCACAAAATATTATATTAAAAAAGTCTCTAAAATACTCATTTACTAACACAAATTATATGAGCCGATTAGATTAAAATATGTTCAAATGTCAAATAAATTATGTAAGTTTTTAATACGATAAGTTTACTACAATTATTTGCCACAATTTAGCACAAATTGTTCCTGTCACCTTTTTAGCTCCAATTTGTTGAACAAATTCATACAATTATGAAACCAAATCCAACAAATTTTTCCCTGTGATTCCTTGCACAAAAAACTAGCTTCGTTACCGAGATATATTTTTTATAAAAAGAGATACAAAGAAAATGAATAAGGAAATTGCCAGTTGAGTAGCATATTTTTCTTTATAAAACCCTATAAATATCTATACGCATGCCACTGAGTACACAGTAAAAAAATATTTGTTAATTTTAACCAAATATTAATCAGATATTATGTTAATCCAGGTCCACATAACTTTATGTTAACAACCAACTGTAATCAAATAATAATAATTGAATAATAAGTAGTTTGTAATGATAACAAACATTTTGTAGATTTAATAACAAAATCCCATGTCAATACAATAATTCAACCATAATTCTTGTAATTTTCAAAAAGGACCTTATTTTTACAAACCTTTTTGTAGACCCAGTAACAAAAGTATTTGTCGGATATTGGGAACTTAAATGAAAAGAATTTTGATAAGAAATGTTACTTTATTAATCAATTTTCTAAACAAAAAATTAACACATACCTACATAAATGAACACAAAAATAACATAAACACAACTAAATAACACACCATTCTGAAATTTTTAAACTTTAGTAAAATATAGATATTAGTAATATTACAACATTAACTGATGTATTTCGTAACTTTAACCCACTTCACTGTATCCCCTAATTTCAGTTTAAAAACCAATGAAGGCATCTCTTTTTCGGATACTTTGCACTTTGCTTATTTGTTAAATAGGTATAGGAAATTCGAATAACAATAATAACAGATTTCTGGTAATATAGTATAAACACTCTGGACAATTGTTACGAACACGTTACGAATTAGAATACAGTAAGCAGAAACATAAGTTGCAGACGATTCAGTCAGTTGAACTTGTTGATGCGTATTGTCAGTGGGATATGTTTTGATTGACTGTCTGATACACGTGAACTTTTTCAGCGAAATAATTTGTTAAACATTACCAAAATAATCTGTAACCTTTAAAATTAACCAAATGCTTACAAAAACTATTATTTTGATTTTTTAACTCCATGTAATCAACATGAAACACACTGTGAAATTCCATTCTTAAGCACCTTGGAATTAATGTTCCAAATATCGCCCTATTTTAAAAACAAAGAAACAGGATTTTCCTGTTTTCCGCCATTAACGCCAAGTTAGAGGAAAGGAATCGTTGGCATTTTCCAGGCATTTTCTGATCTCGGGTTGAAAAAGCGCGACCACGAATTCCTTTTAATTGATTTCCGATAAAAGGTTCCTGCGTTTAACATAATAGCGGCGACAACACTTGCCATGTGAACCGCACCACATGCCGCTGCCAACAATTCTCGTCCTTGTTTTTCATTCTTCAAACTTCTTTTCGCCCTCCCTGTTTTTCACACGACACTTGTCTTGCTGGAAATACGAGTGGAGCAGCTTTCAGATTGAATTTCAGCTTTTTTATTTGCTGCGTTATAAGAATAAAACCGAGAACTGGCAGGATTGTCCTTAATGTTAGTTTAAAAATACGTCATAAATCATATATGATCCGTTGATTTTTTTATTTGAGTAAAATTTGGTACAATATAATTATCAGTACTACTACTACACTTACTCCACTGTATCCCCTAATTTCTTTTTCGGATACTTCGCACTTCTTACACTCGTTAAATATAAGGAATCCGAATAACAATAATAACAGATTTCTGGTAATACACTCACAGGCAAAATAATCGATCCACACAAATTTTCGATGAATTTCAATCGCAAATAACTTTTTTATTTGATATTGGTTTTAACCAAATATTAAAGAATATTGTAGATAAATTAATGGAGAATCGCTCACATTTTTTACAGGTTTATAAAAAAATAAGTTTTTTACAATAAGGTTAAGACACTCTGTAGAGTGGCTAAACCGTATATTGTTCTAAATTAAGTTTTAATTATCAAGTCACATCTATTCTTAACAGTTTTTGTTTTTGGTTCACCTCGATATATTTATTTTTGTGAAAAATATGGATTTTAAAAAAAAACATTGCAATTTCCAATATTTTTTCTGTACAAAGAAATAAGGTTGCTATGGAGGATGACAGTGACAGTTTTGTTGAATCATTCCATACTTGGACATGTCATACGGATTTCAAAAGCTATCAAATTGTTATTTGCAAATTAATGTTTAACTTTTGAGGTGTCTTCCTACTTTTAAAAATGAATTTGTCTCCGACTGATGTTGCCAGAACCATTGATTTAATTCAGGATGGCCGGTCACACTATTACGTGGAAAGTGTTTTAAACGTCACAAGAAGTAACAAAGTGTACATCAGTCGGAGACATATACATTTTTAAAAGTAAGAAGACGCCTAAAGATAAAGACATTAATTTACAAAAAAAAAATTGATAGCTTTTAAAAGCTGTATATGACATGTCCAAATATGGGATGTCATCCTCCATAGACTATGGATGGGCCATAGCAACCTTAGTTCTTCGTACAGAAAAAATATTGGAAATTGCAATGTTTTTTTTAAATCCATATTTTCCACAAAAATAAATATATCAAGGTGAACCAAAAACAAAACTGTTAAAAATAGATGTGAGTTGATAATTAAAACTTAATTTATAACAATATACGGTTGTGGCACTCTACAGAGTGTCTTAAACTTATTGAAAAAACATATTTTTGTTGAAACCTGTATATTATAAACGTACGTCTATTTTTTTAGTAATTTTTAAAATTTGAGCGATTCTCCATTAATTTTTCTACAATATTCTTTAATATTTGTTTAAGTCCAAAATCAAATAAAAAAGATATTTGCGATTGAAATTCATCGAGAATTTGTGTGGATCGATTATTTTGCCTGTGAGTGTATATTATAAACACTCTGGACAGTTGTTACGAACACGTTACAAATTAGAATAAAGTTAGCAGAAACATAAGTTGCAGACGCTGAAGTAAGTTGAAGTTGTTGATGCCTATAATTGTCAGTGGGAAATGTTTTGATTTACTCCCTGAAATCAAGTTAACATTTTCAAAGAAATCATTTGTTAAACATTAACAAAATAATCTGTAACCTTTATGCTTACAAAATTGCATACGTATGTACAATTGTATAAACAAACTACAAACTTTTCAATTGCATAGTTAAATCGCGCACTTTAATTGTGTTTTGCGTTGCAAGTAAAAACTAAAAAAAATTGGTTTAGTACTCAAATTCGATTTATTATATATCATTGATTAAGAAACTCAACGCTCATATGCTTATAAGCATATGAGCGTTGAGTTTCTTAATCAATGATATATAATAAATCGAATTTGAGTACTATAGTGTGTGTATTTTATCTAAGTGATCATAGTGAATTTTTATAAATGTAATTTAAGAACTAAATCGTTGCTTTTTCATGTTTTGCCAAAGGATACAATTCGTTAAGTATATTTGTTGGTGCAGAATTTACTAATGATAACTTTACCTAATATAATTTATATTTAAGTTTGGACATTCTAAAGATATCTATCAAAAAACATTGTTGTACAAACATAACCTTAAAATCAAACCTTTTTATATTAACTGCATTTTAAAATAGTAAATGACAAAATATATCTACGAATTCATGGCAACATAATATTATACATAATTATATATAATGTATTATAATACATAATATAATAACCGTTTTTGCAAAAACATGTTTTTTACCATTGAGTAGAGACTTTTCCAATCAACGCTTTATATAAAGCATCAGTCCGTATTTAGAAAGTTCTGGCAGTACATTGAGGGAAAAGGGGTAGAGGGACTTGCTTTTATACTTAATGCATAAAATGTATGCCACAAATAGCGATGGGTACTAACTTGCAAAAACAAAATTTCCTGTCATTTTATTACATTTGATTTAAAACAGCCAATTTTCCAACTGATTTTATAATTATTTTTTATTTTAATAGTTCATAAACATATATAAAATAAAAAACGTAAAAATTGACAGTTGTGACATTTCTATATGCTGTTATTTACAATCTTGATGCACCCTGTATAAATTGTATTTTTTTTATATTGTATGTATTTGTTTAGAATATTTGGTTTGTTGGTTTTTCAACTATTGAATTCACTAATGAGAAATATTTGTAATGGCATTTTTTAATTGTAAAAATAAAAGATTTAAAACAGCCAATTTTCCAACTGGTTTTATAATTATTTTTTATTTATACTTCATATACAATGTATATTATACATATATGAAATAAAAAACGTAAAAATTTACAGTTGTGACATTTCTATATGCTGTTATTTAAAATCTTGGTGCACCCTGTATAAATTGTATTTTTTATATTCTATGTATTTGTTTAGAATATTTGGTTTGTTGGTTTTACAACTACTGAATTCACTAATGAGAAATATTTGTAATGGCATTTATTAATTGTAAAAATAAAAGACGTATATTTTTTTATAAAATGTTCAAATATATTTAAAAATCCATTTATGTAAAAATAAATGTAGGTATAATATAACAAAACATTATAATAAATATTAAAATAGGATTGTATATATATATAAAATAAAATATGAGATTCAAAACATTTAACAATAAATTAAATGTGGCAACTTTATGATAACAATATAAATTATATAAAAATAAAAATTTATTTAACATGTCAAATGTCAAAAATATATTATTCTATTAAAAATTTAATGTTTGTTCTGGACTTGTTCCATAGATGACTTGTTCTAAAAAGTAACTACAACTTACAAATTTTTTAACTTAAACTATTTTTGTAAAAATGGATGCTAAATTATTAACACCACAAAATATTTAGAATTATGTATTGTTGTAGCATAGTTTCTAAAAAACTTAAAACATAATAAAGGGGTCAGAAAACCTAAAGAATTAACAATTTTTAGAAGCAATTACAAAATTATACTTATGTAGGTATTAATACTTATCTTTTCAATCGAGTTTAGCTTAAATTTGATACGCATTAAAATTTAATGAGATTCTACTAAATCCCACATATTTAATTCGGGATCTGTGCATAGTTTCATTGTTATTTTGGAGTCAGCCTGTTTGCTTTTAGCACCTAGACATGTGCCTGCTCCAAGGTTGTAAATAGGCGTTTTATTCTAAAAAAAAACAAAAAAAATAAAACGTGATAAAATATTTAACAGTTTTTAATTAAAATACGGTAGGGAAAACAAAAGTTGTATATATGTATGTAAAAATATTAAATTATATAAATGCTCTTACCTAAAATTTTACCCAAATAAATATAGTGAAATGTATAATTTATTTTATATTATTTGCTGCAACATGGTTATTGTATTTTTGCAAAAATGGCGAATGTGCCAGGATTAACATGATTAAAATCATTTAAATCAAAAAACGTTTATAAATATAGGGCCGATTTTATTATCTATCCTAAACGCTAAAAAAGCTTACGAACTGTACATCATTTTTAGATAAATAATTGGATTTTCACAAAAGTAACAAACATAACCTTAAAATCGAATATTTTTTATTTGAGCCCTCTAAAAAACTACAACTGCATTTTAAACGACAAAATATACCTACGAATTCATGGCAACATAATATTATACATAAAACATAATGTAATACCGGTTTTTGTTATTTTAATGTTGAGAGGAGACTTTTTAATCAACGCTTTTAATATTTTTTTTCTTAATGTCAAAAAGTACAGATTGAACATCGACATTCTGACTTTAATAATATGTTTTTTAACATTAAATCGTCCTTTTCCCGAAAAAAAAATCTGCGTTGACTAAACAATTACAATTATCACTGAGATCATCTCGGAACTTTTTGTTGTGAAGTGATTTTTTTAAGATTTTTAAAAGGCAAAACACAAAAAAAAACAATTGTTTATATAAATTTGAAAATTTCAGAACTATATTCCAGTCAGTTTCATTACCTTCATTATGCCAAAGTTTCATCAAAATCAGTTTTTTCTAGAGATGGGAATCGGAAAGTTTCCATTTTAAGGAAACTTTCGGTTTTGGAATTTTCCAATTGGGAATTTATTTTAATTTTGAAAGTTTCTTTTAAGCTACTGGAAACATTTCTTGGAAACATTCCTTGGAAACTTTCCTTGTTTTTTTTCATTTAAATGTCAATTGTTTAACCGCTGATTTTCGTTAAGGCCATGATACAAGGCCAAGAAACTTTGAATAAGAATTTAATTTGTGTTAATTTAAAGCAGAAGCAGAAGTTATGTGTAACCTCAATGAAGCCGGATTATTCAGCATCAACACAAACTTTTTAAAAAAAAGGTAAACAAAATAAATACAATAAACAAAGTTAAAATCATTCTTACATTTTTGTTGTTTATTTATAGGCATAGCACAATGCCAAGAGAAAAATCTAGTGTTTGGAATTATTACAAAATAGTGCAAAAAAACAAAAAAGACCATGCTCAAAGCAAGTTCTGTAAGAAAATCTATGTCGTTAATGCAACCAAAAATTTGACAAAAAGTTAATGTGTTATATATTTTTGCAAATCCCTGGCATAAAAAAAATATTTTCGCAATAAAAAAATTTTTTTTGAAACTTTCGGAAAATTTCGGGAATTTTCGATGGAAAGTTTCCGGGAATTTTCGTCAAATGGGAATTTTCCCATCTCTAGTTTTTTCCACATTTCGATAAAAAAGCGATGATCAAAGTATACATATTTAGCAGTATAATACTGCTAAATGGTAAACACCGCACTAACGAAAATTAATGTACTTTGTTTGACAATTTAATTGTATACAAACAAAATCTACCAACTTAATTTGACAAAAAGTACAAATATTTCTTCAAATTCGACATCTATTTCTTTTCTGACTTTAATTATATGTTTTTTAATATTAAATCGTCCTTTCTCCCGAAAAAAATCTGCATTGAATAAACAATTACAATCAAATGTTTAGATAGATAGATACATTGTAGATAGGATTATTTTACCATTTGCAAATTATTACAAAATATTTAAATTTAATAAAAAATACATTCTGGAACATAGCTTATTTATAAAAGCATAATATTTTTTATTTAATTATCACTGAGATCATTTCGGAATTTTTTGTTGTGAAGTGTTTTTTTAAGATTTTTAAAAGGCTCAAAACACAAAAAAACAATGGGGTAGTTAAATTTTTTCTGACCTATACTTTTTATGGTTTTATTCAAGGCGTTTTGTAATATTAAACATTTCTGTGAAATCAGAATTTCAATTGAGTTTACCGTTTTCGAGATATTTACAAAAAATATACATTTTTATGACGTCACAAACCTCGCCATGTGACCAACATTCTAAGATTTCTATTGGTTGAAAATTACCCTGTTGTCAAGTTGTCTTGTTAATGATTTCATTCGGTTATGTCAGAAAATACCCGAAGAGGTTATGTACAAATACTGTCACTGTCAGTTGAGTGAAAGATGGTCACCAAATTCATTAAGTACCTATCTTCCTTATTACGAGGTATCATATTACTGTTTGATATTTTTGAGTCCAAGATATATCTAAAAGAATATAAAGAACTAGGCATTATACTAATGAAATGCATTTACGACAAAATATGATTATAATTATAGGTATTTACTTTATTTGTTTAAAAGCTCCAATGTTCAATGTAACCAACCATTCCACAAGATTCCTCTGCTTTGGAGTCCGTTATTAATAAATCACTTATCTAATATCAATTACAAATAACATAACAATAACATTGATTTTCAATCAAGATACATACACCTTAAGATAGGATGGTGCGCATGGTGGGCGGAGCTAAAATACGTCACATGACGTCACTTGATGAGTAGTTTTAAATCTCTAACGTTCGTTTTAATTATCTGCCGCTAAAATTCTGGTTTTTGCGAAGCTGTTAGATGTTAAATTGCTCTGTTTTTTTGTTTAACTTGTTGTTTTTGCGTTCTGTAAGGTTAGAATTACTTTTCAGTGTTTAAATTATTTTTATTGCGTTGTGTTAACCTGTTCTGTTTGTGCTAAAGTTATTGTTTTTGTGTTTCGTTAACTTGTTTGTGTATTAGTTTGTGTTGTGTCATTTGCATTTATTAAAATGCGGTGTGCCATATTTGGATGCATTTCGGACAACCAGTCCAAGAAAAACCCTACAAATAAAGACATTAAATTCCATCGATTTCCGAAAAACATAAATTTGTGCAAAAAGTGGTTACATGCCACGAAAAGAAGAGACAAAATTAACGTTAAGCGCGCTACTGTTTGCTCTAAACATTTTCTGGACAGTGACTACAACTCTTAAACTACAGCCCTAAACGTTATCGTGGACTGAAAGATGATGCTGTGCCTACTCAAAATTTACCTCGAACTCAAGTTTTCATGTTTCTTCTGTGCCGTCGACAAGTGGACAAAATCGTAAACTTTTAAGTGAAAAAAGGCAAAAGGCTCAACTTATTATAATGCTATAGCACGTAAGTTTTTAAGCATTTATTAGTCTGCTCATGTGTATTTTGAAATTTATCAATTAATAGGGTGGAAGAACCACCAGAAATTGCTGATAATGGGGTTGGTGGTAGTAGTATTATTGATAATAATTTGGTGAAGGCATGTAGCTCTTCTTATTTATTTTATTTAATTTGTTTATATATTTTTAATTTATTGGTATTCTTTGTTGTATTTATTTAAATAAAAAATTTAACATTTTAAGACATTTTATTTATTGAAAGTGTAAGGCACAAATATGAAAAATACCAAATTTCTACAAACTTTTAAGATTAACATAAGTATAAAAAACTTCAGGTGAGTTTAGAACCCTCCGTGCCTTTTTAAAAACATAAGTTTGAATTTATAAAGACTAATGTTTTTAAAAAATATTAACAAAAGGTTTAGAATAAATCAATACAAAAATAAAAAATCCCAGGAATTTATGAAATTTTTCCGGTTATTTTCGCAGGTAATTCAAATTTTAATACCTAAATATTTTTGGTTAAAATTATATTATATGTATTTTCTTTTAGTAATAAAAAAATACATTTTAATAGATTTAAATATGTTTCCAAAACATAGCATCTATATTATTACACTATGGTAATATGGTAATAAACATTTTTAATTAATTTTTCTTTTTCTTTTAATAATTAATATAAAAAGTAATAAAAAAATGATTTACTTAAAACTAAGTATTGTTTTATTTTAATTACCTAATTTAAAAAAAATAGATTTAAATACTATCAAATATTTTTCCAACGCATCTAGCATCCATATTAATAAACTATCTTTAATATCAAATTCACAAAAAACGCACTATGTCCAGATATTTCTTTATGTTTTGATAATATTACTAGCATCCATATTAATAAAATACTTTTAATATCAAATTTACAACAAAAAATAGATTTAAATAGTATCAATTGATATTTAAATATTTTTCCGAATCATCTATCATCCATATTATAACACTTTTTTCAATATCAAGTTTAAAAATAACGCACTATGTCCAGAAATGTCTCTATTTTCTTTGATAATATAGCTATTATACGTGTATTCGCGCTGCAACTACTCATCAGGTGACGCCATGCGCGGCGCGAACCAAAACTCGTCCGCGGGAGCATCCAGCCCTGATTTTCAATAATCTAAATTAAAAAAAAACATAACCCGAAAAAAAGAAACGTCAAAAAATCAATTCTTCTTCTTCTCAACTAAAATTTTAGATCAAGTAGTTTTAAAACTAAAATATTATAACGTGGCGCCATCTATCGTAAGAATCTTAAACTAGACAACATAGAAAAAGCTGGCAACGTTGTCAATAGCCTAGTGACGTAATTAGGAGACTTTTTTTTGTAAATATCTCGAAAACGGTAAACTTAATTAAAATTCCGATTTCACAAACATGTTTAAAATTACAAAACGCCTTGAATAAAACCATAAAAAGTATAGGTCAGAAAAAATTTAACTACCCCATTGTTTAAAAAAATTTGAAAATTTCAGAACAATTTTTCAGTCAGTTTCATTACCTTGATTATGCCAAAGTTTTATCAAAATCAGTTTTTTCCACATTTCGATAAAAAAGCGATGATCAAAGTATCATTATTTAGCAGTATAATACTGCTAAATGGTACACCGCAAAAACAAAAATTATAGTACTTTGTTTGACAATTCAATTGTAAACAAACAAAAAATACCTAATTTGACAAAAATGCATACATACCTCCCCCTTGTGCTTCCACTCCTGATCCCCGCCTTGCTCATGGCACTTATACAAAATAGGGTGAGGCTTTCCAGCTTGCAGGCAAAGCAATTGAGCCAAAACCAACTCGTTCTTATCGGTCTGATACCACATCTGAGCCTTACTCCTTAAACACGTCTTTAAAACCAAACCGCTGCCCTTCGATTTTACATCCTCGGCACTCTGAATACACAAATTGCTTTTGCTCAATCTCATCTGAAACTGAGCGGTGTAGTTGCGTTTTCTAGAGTGCCAAGGTTGGTAGTCGTTCTGTTCCACGGCCGCCCATTTTTTCTTCAAGCGGTTTTCGTCGTCGTTGGGCAAGATTAGTTCCGGGTAGACGTTCTTCAGGTACCAGTCAAAGTCCTGGCATTTTAGCTCTTTGCGCAGCCGAATGCGGGAGGATACGTCGCCGAAATCGGCGGATTCGCGGATTTTGTTGTGTTGGAGGAAATAATCCTAAAAAAAAAGTCGCAGGTTGTCAAATCTGGCGCGCGAGGTGGCCACAAAACTTCTGCGATGCTTTTGATTGAAATTGACTGTACTTGTTCAAAAAAATGATTATTTCTGAAAATAATTGAAAATTTTAAGGGGTTACTTACCTTAAAATCATCCATCCAAACATGGGCAACCCTTAAGGAATTATACAGCATGGTATCTTGTCCATCAGGCGACCCATATGGTCTTCTATGTCTGAAGACATGCCCAATTCTACTGCATGGTATCAAATCCAAATGACCACCACACATCCAAATCTACAAAAAATATCAAGAAAAAAACTGGTTACTGTGAGTTTGCAGGATTTGTAAAAATCATAAATTGTGTAATTTTTTTAATTTAGTATAATTGAAGATATTATATTAATTGAAATAAAAAGCATAAGAATGTTGGTACAAGAGGTGAAATATATTAATTTACAAATTATAATATACCAGTATACAGTGTGTCCCCGGATCGGATTTTTGACAGAAAAAACTTTTTTAGACCGGATTTTGAATCTACGACCAAAAATTATGTTTACGTATGCGAGCGTTTAGCTGTGATATTTCAAGAGTTGAAAATTTACCTACAGTGTTATTTCATCAAAATGCTGTTTTGTTTTTATAATATTTCTTAAGTTGGCAGTACGAATAATTTTTAATTGTTAAAATTATAATTATTATAATTTTAACAATTAAAAATTATTCGTACTGCCAACTTAAGAAACACAAAAATATTAGTTTTAAACCTTAATTTTGACAAAAAATTAACAATTTATAAATATTATAATATTTACTTGTTGATTAGTCCAGGAAAGAAAGATTGTAGAAGGAAAACTCGATGGTAGTCGGGTTTTATTTTTTTTATGTAGTCAGGGGTTCTGATAATGAATCAAGAATATTCCCCAAAAATTTCTTTCCGCGTCCCCTAATTTCATCACCCAAAAGCGGAGTTTTTTTGCATTTTGGCTCATAATTCGCTAACCGTGCATTTTTTCAGAATTTGACCTTTAACACTTTTGATTATGTACTAAATAAGGCACACGTTAAACCCCATTGCGCACCTATATGATGTGCCCTTTTGCTATGCGCATTATACAAAGTTGAGCGTTGCTTTCAAAATCACTTTTTTGTTTTTTTTTATTATAGCCCAATTTTAAAAGTAATCGATCCCAAACCTTACGGTAATCAAACATAACTGAATGGACGATTTTTTGAGGTACTAGACTTTTTTCAAAAGTTACTGCTTTTCAATGTACAGGGGGATCTTTTTGCAAAAATTTAATTTTTGTGGGGCACTTGCAATGAAAATAATTTAAAAAAACTACGGATTCGTTAAGAAGATAAGTGTACCTAAAAATCTAGAGTAGAACGAACTGGCTTATTAAAGCCGTTTGGGAAATATTTATCAAATTTTTTAAATACAGATACAGTTTGTTTTTTAATAGGAATTTGACGTAAAAAATTAGGGGTTTTAGTTGGCAAATTCTGGGGACCCTAAATTTATTTATGCAGCACAAATTAATTATTTTATCAAAATGTTGGTTTGTTTTTATAATTACAATTTTAACATTTAATTGTCAAAGTAGGTAAGTAGGTAGTAAAATATTTAGGCATTGAACACACAACCAAAAAATGATTGTATTGTATTGTATAATTATTGTATAATTATACATGTAAAGAAATTTTGCGTTCTACAATAAAAGCATTTAAATAATTTGTGAATTAGAAATATACACTTACTCTAAATGATATTTCCAAGTTTTCTCCTCCCCAAATATTCATACCAGGATCGTATTCACCTAATAATTTAAAATATTCCCTATCAATAGCAAAAAGTCCTCCTGCCATTGTAGGTGATTTTATAGGTTTCACAAAATCTTCTGGATTTGTAAGGGTACCTTAAAAACAATAAATAAATTATTAAAAAAAAAATTCTAAAGAGTAAAAGTATTTTAACTTACCCACTGGTAAACTGTCCCACTTAAAATGCAACCCCCAATTGAAGCCACCCCTAACAATAGGGCTTGACGAATACCCAAAAGTATCAGGGTTTATAATATCTATTATAGGCATTGCGACATTGTGTTTATTTTCTTTAATTCTCCCCAACAGCGGCTCTATCCAACCCATATTAACCTCAATATGACTATCAAGGAAAATCAGTATGTCTCCTTCAGCTTTATGAGCACCTATTAATCTTGCTCTTATTAAACCTTCCCGTTTTTCGGCTTTGATTAATTTTACTTTTTCAAGACTATTGAGGTGTATATAATTTTTCAAATCACTATGCAGGCCCACCAAATCACTGTAATCATCCACTAAAATAATTTCGTGAAGCATTTCTTCCGGCGTTCTATCCAAAATCGAATGAATAGTTCTTAGTAGAGTTTCAAAATGTTCATTGTAAAAACAAATAATTATGCTGGCCGTTGGCAAGGGAAAATCGTAATTAATATCCTTACACCTGAAAACAAATTTCAAATCAATGTTATGTTAGAATAACCTACATTTGTAAGGTTACAGTGCATTTCTTGTATCTGGAATTTTTCTGTGCAAACTTAATTTCATACTCATCAAAACATTATAAGCGTGGATTTTATAACCTTCTTCTTTTATTTTTTGCTCTTCCACTGTTCTAACCATCCCTAATTCAGTGGAATCTAAAATATGATATGTAATAAATAATAATAAATAAAAACGTATTTATTAATCCTTATGTAAATACATACTATGTAAGGTTACAACATAAGATTAAATGGCCAATGACCGAGGTCCTTCAGCCAACGATATGTAATATTAAATTTACAAAGTCAATTCTTTTTACCATCATTTTCTTTATTATTGTGAGCAAGCCCATCAGGTTGTAGATGCAGCAAAAGTTTTTCACTATTTTTGTGTGTATTATCATTTGTGTTGGCGAAAATAAAATCAGTTCCGTTATAGATGTCTCCTTTAGTTATTTGAGAGTACAAATACAAAGATACCATCCATGTTATCGATGCGAAAAATGTGCCGTATAAAAAAGATTTGTTTAAACTTAACATATTTAATAAATAAATGAGTATTTTGTCTTAAATTAATATTGAATGAAATTTCACATATTTTGAACTAATTTTGAGGTTATTTTGAACTTGACAGGATCGGTAACCTACAAAAAAAACAGGCAGTGTTGCCACAAGAAAAATCAATGGCTCCAATGGAAAATTTTCAATATTTTTATCGTTTATATTAAGTTTTTTACATTTAATGTTTGTTTTATTAATAAATTACATATGCCAAAAGTACGAATCGTTATATTTTTATATATTGTAAATATAATACTTGTGCATTTTAATTTCTAGATTGTTTTCAATTTTAAATTTAAATAACATTTAATAAATGATAATAATTTAAACAATACCTATAATAGTGATTATTTTTATAAAAAAAATAGGTAAATAAATTTCAATCTGATTAAAAATCGATGATGACATGCGTTTTGTTTGAGAAAAATCTTGAAACTTGCATGTGACGTTTCAGTGGTCCACAATCAATTTCAGCGGGCCGGATTTTCAGCCGTCGCGGCGTCGACTAGTTTGTGACCTAGAAACAGCGGCGCCACTATAAACTGCAGCCGAAACCGAATTTATCGCGAATCGGTCGTTTTTTTCGACTGGTTATTTAAGATTTCGGATGTAATTAGTGATTTTGTGCCTTGAAAAAACCCTTCAGCGTATTGATTTCCACAATTTAAACAAAAGGTGAAGTCATAACCTAAGTTTTACGTAATATTTTATAAAAAAATAAACAAAACAATATCGAAAACAAGCTAAAATTAGATTTATCGCGGCCCACTGCGCTTTTGCTTCCACTCTGTCAAAATTTCAGATCGGACGTTTCAAACAATTCGTTTAAATTACAAATTGCCGTGGTTAAATTTTGTTAAATCAATACGCTGATCGGATTTAAAATTTACATCGTTTTTAAAGTAGAGTTTTTATTTCAGTGCAGCAATAACCGTAAAATGAAAAGTAGGGAAACATTTTTCCCCGTTAGTTTGAACCCTTTATTGTGATACAAATTCAAAAACTTTAACCACGTCTTCCTCCCAAAAATCTTCGTGGCTCAGGCAGCCACGTCAAGGTAAGAAAACAATTCTTCATAACTTTTAATATTTAAACAGGTGTTATTCAAATTAAAATAGCATTGCCCTCGGTTTTATTGAACTTGATATAAACAGAAAAACCATAATTTATTAAAAAGTTTCGTTCTTCAAAACATGTAAGTGGATTTAGTTTTGACAATATTCCAAAATGTCACATGTTAAAATTACAAGCAAACGTTTTATATTTAGATCAAACTTTGCCAAAATATTTTTAAATTACGCCAAATATATCAATACTTTTTAATAAAACAAATTGTTTGTATTTATTCTGGCCCAAAAATAGGACCTTGTGGCACAACCAACTTTATATCATTTTATTATAGATTTTTTTATTAATATTAACTTTATTTTATTAAGGATACAAAACATATTTGTTTTAAAAATAAAAAGTTAAAAATTGTTCTTAATATATCTAACCAATTTTAATTAAAAACACATTGAAACCTCAGCTGCCTTAATAGTCCAGTCATCTAGGGATTTCACCTCGGAATCTAACGGAATAAGCTGAATTTTTGTACAAACCTTTATTTTAGCATTGCAAATGTTGTCTCAAAAGTCACATATGCCAACGTGTGAGCGGCCTTAGATATTCAAGGTCAAAGGTCGCAAAAATCAATTTTTTGAGAATATCTCCTTTTCTCTGCCTCCTATCGTATTTGCATTTATTATACAAGTTGTAGAGAATAAAATTCTCTACAAATTTTGTTTAAAACATTTTTTTATACGTCTAATCGTTTTTGAGATAGAGGGCGCAGAGTGTGGAGCGCTCAGCCATACGTACCTTTAGCGCAAGGTAAATCATGAATCCCAATCTATTATACTGTTTTTTAAATTAATTATTTATTAAATATTACTTAAATAACAATTTAATACCTTATATTTATTTTTATATATTTTTTTAAAACAAATAGTCATTAAATATTACTTACTTTTTACATACAAATAATTAAATAATGAAGTGAATCATTCTAAATATATTCTAATGTTATTCTAATTAATGGTAAATGCATTTTAAGAAGAAAATACATTAAATGAATTTGCCTTGAATATGTCTCTGGTCATCTCTTGGATCCAGATATTGCTTTTAAAATAACAGACCTGGAACTACTATAGTGGGCTTGCTATAAATAAAAAGGTTAGGTATACCTATATTTAAAGCAAGTTGTGATACAAGTTGGTCAGTGGCGGATTGGGGATTTTGGGTATACTAATATCTTAGTTATTAGACATGGGACCCACACCAAATTTATAATAGTTTATTATGACATTAAATAGACAAGTTCGGCGCAAACAGAATTTAAATTGAAGTTTGCGAAAAAAAGTTAGTTTTTTGTGTCGCCTCACCTGGCTTCTGGCCCCCCCATTTGAGATAATTCAAATTAAAGTTGTGCAATTTATACTTCACTATAATTTATCGGTAAATTTAAAATTTTATTTGAAAAATCCCAATATTACAGATTTTATACCATATTAAATATTTTTTTATTATAATAAAATAAATAATAAAAATTTAAAATCGTATAAAATCTGTAATATTTATATTTTTTAAATAAAATTTTAAATTTGTCGATAAATTATAGTGGAGTATAAATTGCACCACTTTAATTTGAATTATCCCAAATGGGGGGGCCAGAAGCCAGGTGAGGCGACACAAAAAACTAACTTTTTTTCGCAAACTTTAATTTAAATTCTGTTTGCGCAGAACTTGTCTATTTAATGTCATTATAAACTATTATAAATTTGGAGTGGGTCCCACGTCTAATAAGTGAGATATTGGTATACCCAAAATCCCCAATCCGCCACTGAAGTTGGTATAGGTCTAGGGTTGTGACAGGTAATATTCGTAATATTTTAAAGGTTAACATGGCTGATTTGTGTTTTATTTGTAATAAGTTACTTTCTGAAGGTGATTCTGTGACTTTTGTGCGCGGTATAAAGACTTTAAAAGAAGCAATTATTGAGAGAAATAAACATAAACTTTCTAAATACTTTGACTTCTGTGAACGTTCATATTGAGTGTCAAAAATTGTACGCTAAAGCGTACTATAGTAAAATTGCAGCAGCAAAACATCGCCTTGAAGAGACTGGACCTTCAACGTCATCAACTGTACCTCGTAAAAAAGGGAATGATGTGTTTGATATTAAAATATTGTGCTTATTTTGTGGTGAAGTCGCAGATGAGGCAACAAAGGCAAAAAAATCTGCAAAGTACAAACGCGTTTTAAGTAAGTTTTTGAAGATATGACAATTAATGTCAATGATAACGGGGAGAGTGTTGATGAGAATGAGTCTGAAATTGCTGGCCAACCTGAAGAAGACGAGGATGAAGAAGATAAAGATTATTAATAATAATAATAATAATAATATTGACATAAATAAAAACATTTTTTCCTACTCCGATCCAATTATCCTTCATTAAAATTAAATTAAAATATAAGATATATGAAGATAAAATATATTTGATTTAAAAGAAATATAAGGTATTACATTTTTTTTAGTAATATTTATTATATAATTAATTAAAAAAACGGTATAATAGGGGGTTCACGATTTACCATGCGCTAAAGGTACGTATGGCTGAGCGCTCCACACTCTGCGCCCTCTATCTCAAAAACGGTTCGAGGTATAAAAAAATTTTGTAAACAAAATTTGTAGAGAATTTTATTCTCTACAACTTTTATAATAAATGCAAATACGATAGGAGGCAGATAAAACGAGATATTCTCAAAAAACTGATTTTTGCGACCTTTGACCTTGAATATCTAAGGCCGCTCACACGTTGGCATATGTGACTTTTGAGACAACATTTGTAATGCTAAAATAAAGGTTGTCACAAAATTTCAGCTTATTCCGTTAGATTCCGAGGTTGATCCCCTTTTTTGACTAAGATGACTGTACTATAATAATTGTTTGATTGGTTTCCACAACAACCGTTTTTTAATTTAAAATATTTTAGCTTTTCAGGCACACAGCGTTGCCAAGTTTATAAAACTTAAATGGTAGTACTAAAAAACTAAAAAAGTACCTACTCTCCAGAAAAACAATTTGTAATTTTTTATACCAACTTAAAATAAAAAAACAAAAGGTGTATTAAATATTGTAATTTTGTCACAAAAATATACAGGGTGTGAGGGTGTCAAGTTTTAATTTTTTAAGTAATAAATATTTTTTTAATAACATTTTTTTACCACTAAATTTTTCCGATTAAATATTATTAACATTTTTTTAAATCTTGAATTGTTATTTCAAAATGGTTTTTATTATTATTGTACCTATAAATCAATTATTGTATAAATAATTTATTTAAAATAAATAATCTAAAAACAATAAAAAATCCCTCTAATTCATCATCAAATATATGTAGAACCTTGTGAAACACCAACATTTTTTTGTAAAAAAATAAAAGAACTAAAATATTGACACATTTTTATATTTTTTCGGTTACCTTTCGACCACTAAATTTTCTCGATTAAAATTATAGATTTTAATCGAGTAAATTTATTTTTATAATATTTTAATATTATTAATAATTTTTTAATTTTGAATTATTATTTTAAAATTGTTTTTATTAGTTTAAATAATTTATTTAAAATAAATAATGTAAAAACAATTCATCATCAAATCTAGAAAATTTATTTGTAAACTGATAAAAAACTAAAATATTGACACTTTTTTTAGGGGGTACAGTTTCCGTGCGGCGCTTCAATGTTACGGTTGTGTCCTCTGTGTCTGAGGGGACATCGGGGGGCTCAGTGTCCCCCGTGCCCAGACACAGAGGTCAACCTTTTGCAAGCATCCCCGAAGACCACGCTTTAGACGACGACCCAGTAAAAAACCAAAACAATCTTCTTCAGCAAAAGAGCCTATCAACCAGCAGCAGATGTGCCTCACCGGCTCCATCGTGGGATTTCAGCTTGGAGGACAGCGATTCGGTAAATATAACTAATATATAAGTATAAGATCCGACCTTTTCAATCGCGCGGTTTTTTTTAAGTTGGCAACAATCAGCTGTGTGATGGTGGCGCCGCGGTCGCCTCTTTCACGAACTACCCGAAATTATTTTACAGTTTCGTAGAAAACTTCGATAAGTGCTTTAACAATTAATATTTAGTCACCGGTTTTTTAACTCGGGGTGGGTGTTTTTTCCTTCGAAAACATCGAAAAATCCTCCGTGATATTTTTCGTAAGGTAAAAAACGTCGCGAAACTGTTAAAACTCCGCTTTTCGATAAGTAAACAAAGTACGTTCTGCAGTGTTTTTTAAGGAACAGTATTTATTTTTTGTGTGTTGAGTGCTTAAATAAGTTTGTGGTTCAGTTTGGATATGTGATTATTTCTAAATCGGCTGGAGGGAATTTTTAACGAAAAGGTAACCTCATTTGTAAACAATCGTTTTGACAGAAAGTCAGCAATTTCCATGTGTGAGTTTATGGAATAAATTTCAACCATTGGAAGGCATAACACGGTCAATTAATATTAATTATACAGTTTTATTGCCAACAATGTAAACAATTACAGGGCCTTTAATAGGGATTACCTATATGATTTAAACCTAATTGAAAAGTTATTTAAAAAACCTTCCCAAATAAATACTAACATTGTACAAAATATAAATAATCAATCAGATCAAAGAGAAAGTTTTTCGCAAAATAATTATGTATAATTATTAATAATTTTCGCTCGTTATCGTCGTGCAAATTTTTTAAATCACTACCTTTGTTGAGTGTTAGATTAGATTAAGCACAGACCACATAAATCATTTTTTCTTTACCTACAATATTGCCAAAATTTATTTTGGAACTTTTACATTCTAATTGTAATTGTTTGGACGTTGGTCATACTTTTTAATTAGTTACATTAAAAAAGCAAAAAGTCATTGACATCACAGATATTGACAGACATGTGGACAAATTTATCTAAAAATATCTGAAAACATCCATACAGATTATTTTTTATCCACTTGAATCCTCAGACATTCTGGCTCCATTTTAAATTATACCAAATTGCACTTTGTACCGAACAAAAAAATATGTACATAATTAAAATGTTATCTATTGTTAATTTACTATACTGCCCTACTATGGAGAAAGGCAGTAACTGCAAAAAATTGCAAAATGCGTTTTCTTGTGCTATGGTAAAGCTATGGACATTTTGTAACCGAATTCAACACAGAAATGCAGTCAAATATCTCATAAGTTAAAAAAATTAATTAAATACCTACTGCTTTTTATAAAAATTTAGTTTATGCTAATTTTCCACAAATTTCTTGTTTAGCAGTTACTGCCTTTCTCCATAGTAGGGCAGTATAGTAGGTATATAATTGTTTTAAAATCCTATAATTTACTACGACTAACAAAAACTTTAAACAACAGCCAAAACTTAATTTTAAACTACATTTAAATATATAATGGATTTGCAACTTGAGTATCTAGAATCAAAAGTAGTAAACAAATTACAAAACAAATAAAAGTTTCCTCTGACTAAATTTTCGCAATTCTACTATTTTGTTGTCAACAATTAAGTCTGTACATACGCAAAATATGATGCTTGATAAAAAAATAAAAAAATTAAAATGCTTTAAAGCGTTTTACACCAATTATTCAAACGGCGCAGTGTTTTGTTTATAATGTTAGCTTAATATTTTTGACCTCAATTTTATCGATTTATTAATTAAAAATAAATTATAAGGGTATCAGAAACGTAATATTTTTATAGATTTTTTAAAGAAATTTTCCATCAAGTACCTTGTGTAATTGTGTCACTAACTAGGTATATTTTTTCTGTTCTAAATTATTTGGGTTTGCCACTTTAAATAGTTATTATTTTTAATTAATTAACCAAAACAACATTTTTAAATGGCGAACATCTGTTCGTATGTTATACGATTTATTTCAATAATTAAGTACAAACAGCAATAAGCCGCTTTCCAGGAAAAGCAAATTCTCGGAAAACCGTTGAAAATGAAACCCCGTTTGTAATTATGGAAATTTAAGCCAATTTAAATTGTTATTTTTTAAGTAGATTATTGTTTTCCAGTGCGTTTTTTAATAAGTAATAGGAATTGTAATAAGGTTTCAAACGCCTTTAAATGTCACATTTTAAGTTTAATTAAAAAAAATTTCTCGACAAATAAAATTGTTGCATTAATTTGTTTAAGTAATTATTGGGAGCGGCTATTAAATGACCTTGAACTTGAAAACCGGGCGATAATGGTGGGTGTTGAGGAAGGGTCAGAAAGAACCGCACCAACACACGTGCAAAATTTAAATATGCTTATTGCGTTACCTAAAGGTATTAATAATTATTATGAAGGCATTACCTATTTAATTTAAAAAAATACCGGAAGTTTTTGAATAGTTAACTTTTACAGACGAGTTTGTAAATATCATGACATTGGTCAATTTTTAATAAAAACAACATATTTATACTAAATAAACAATATAAAAAAGTATCCAGCTCAAAATACAGGGTATTTTTCATATTTGTAATAGATGGCGCTGTAATAAAAAAAATCAATTTAATTCGATTTTTCTTCTGGATACGATTCTGCAATAATTAAGATATTAGCGATATTAGTAAAAATAGTACTTTATTAAAAAAAATCAAATAATTATTTCCGATGAAAAAATTATTTACCTATCACTTTAATATTTTTATTAACTACAAATTTTAGGCTTACATTTATAAATTTAAAATATTTTCAACTATTATGTATACCTATTGAAAGACAAAATTTACTAACAGTTCACTTCTGTATACTCGCTTGTGTATTAAACAATATTATTTCCAATCAATTTTTGCAAAAATTTCTAACCATTATTGTTAAATAATAGTATATTACACTATAAGGGCAGAAAGTGTGAGATTCCTGCACTGCGCGCCATGATGCCCGAGGCGAAATTTAAAATATTTTCAACTATTATGTATACCTATTGAAAGACAAAATTTACTAACAGTTCACTTCTGTATACTCGCTTGTGTATTAAACAATATTATTTCCAATCAATTTTTGCAAAAATTTCTAACCATTATTGTTAAATAATAGTATATTACACTACAAGGGCAGAAAGTGTGAGATTCCTGCACTGCGCGCCATGATGCCCGAGGCGAAGCCGAGGGCATCATGGCGCGCAGTTCAGGGCTCTCACACTTTCTGCCCGTGTAGTGTATACTATTTTTCTTGCTACCCCCGCAGAAAATACGGGAAAAAATTAAATGTATACTTATAAAAAAACTTGTGTCAAAATTAAAATCTGACGTTTAATTTAATTCTGACGTTTACATTCAAAATCAATCAAACTGTAGCGTTGTCATGGTAATTCAGCGGTGCCAATACAGTAAAAATAAAAGGTTGTATTTTAATTAACAAATTACTACTTTATAACAAATAAAAGTACCATTAAACACTTAAAACAACATAAAAAGTAAAAAAGTAAAAACATAAATTGTTTATTTGTTGTTATAATTGCAAAATTATGGTTTAAAACTGTCATATTTTTGTGTTTCTCAAGTTGGCAGTACGAAATTTGAATGTTAAGCACACGACTAAAAAATTTTTACTCCCGCTATTAGAGTGTGCGTGTATAGCTTGACCAATGCAAGAAACGTAAACTTTCTGCCGTGAAATCGGGGACGAAACAACGTATTTTGAGTCGAGGTAGTAAGAAAAAATAATTTATTTAGTATGATTTAAGTAGGTATTTGGGAAGAATTTTGTAAATCCTAAATAAATATTTAAGTAATAAAATTATTTAGATTAAATTGGTAAAGTTAAATTTTTTATTATTTAAAAATAATGTCGAGGCATTTAAAATAAAAACACATAAAACATTTTCTACCAAAATAGTTTAAAAAGTTAATTTTTTTTAATCTCAAAACAATAGAGTAATTGCATCAAAAATGAAAATCCCTAAAAACCTTTTTAATGTAATCTAGAGGTAAAAACACATTGCAAAAATATTTTTTTATATTCCAAAAGTTCAACCCGGCCCCAAAATATCAAATTGAAAAAAAGGTACTTTTCAAACGTTCCGAACTCCCGCCATATTGCATGACGTCATAAGCTTCACCAGCTGTCAGAAATCAAGATGTCAACAAATAATAAACACCGATAAAGTCGGATAAAGTCGGATAAAGTTTATGTTTAACATGGAAAACGCGAAACCAAAAATTGGTTGTAAATATTGTTTTGTGCCTTGTTGTACAAATACAACCTGGAAAACTCCTGGGAAAGTTGTCCCTTCAATTATCAAAAGCAAAGTTTATGACCCTACACTGAGAGTAGTTACGGCTCAGCCGTTTTTCTTGAATTTATTAATATTTAACATACCTATTCAAACCATATATCGCTCATCCGGAAGAAAACCGTCACAACTCATAAAATCCAAAAATTGAGTATTTAATTGAAATTAATTCCAAACATCATATTCTATGTTGTAGAAAAATGTCTCATCTAAACTTTTAGTATTACCCGAGAGATGGAACTTGTGTCACTTCATCCCTAGCGCGCAAATGCATAACTTCACAGAACTAAAGCGACACTTTTCTATGCTTTTCAGTCTTTATTCATACGTCAAAGCGAGACAAACGATTTATTTCGGGAAAAACGTCACATCTCGGGTTATAACAGTGATTTTTGTTTTAATTTCAATTGATAACGGTCATATTTTTATTTGTGTCCTTTTTTGTTACAATGTTCCTTTCTAGCAATCTACCGAATTATAGTAGGTAAATTATTATATTCCGTTTTGATAACTCAATGTTTAGGTACGTTATTTTTTTAAACTGTTCATATTTTCAATAAATAAAATGTTTAATACAATGTTTGAGGGATTTATTTAATGAATTTGGAAACAAAATTTGCATCAAATTTAGTAGAAAAGTGACACATCTCTGTCATTGAAAGGATTTGTTTTTCTCATTAACAAACAAAAAATTTAAAGTAATTCAGATTAAAACAAAGTACTTTTAAAAAAGCCATGTTTTAAAATAAATATTACTTTTTTACAAAAAAATCCATAAACATCAACAGTTCGATAAATTAAATTATTTGCAACTTTAAATTGCTTCTCCTGAAAATTTAACTTTTTTGAGTTGTGACCGTTTTCTTCCGGATGAGCGATATGTACCTAGTAAACGACATTTTATTTTACTTACATTAAAATGATCCTTAAAATGAGCAAAAAAATGGTGACGATGTTTTGATATCGCGCCGAGCTATTTTAATCCACTTTATCCTTATTTTCCCTTTTGGCACGGTGATAAACCTTTTCCCAGGAGTTTTCCAGGTTGTATTTGTACAAGGCACAAAACAATATTTACAACCAATTTTTGGTTTCGCGTTTTCCATGTTAAACATAAACTTTATCGGTGTTTATTATTTGTTGACATCTTGATTTCTGACAGCTGGTGAAGCTTATGACGTCATGCAATATGGCGGGAGTTCGGAACGTTTGAAAAGTACCTTTTTTTCAATTTGATATTTTGGGGCCGGGTTGAACTTTTGGAATATAAAAAAATATTTTCGCAATGTGTTTTTACCTCTAGATTACAATAAAAAGGTTTTTAGGGATTTTCATTTTTGATGCAATTGATATGCTATTGATATTAATAAAATATTTTACTTAAATATAAAATGTAAATGTAAAGTTTAGGTTTAAAATATTGGTTTTTAAAAATTGTAGGGTCATTCCATCGTTTCAGGTGTTACATTTGTTCAACCAAAGTATACATTTGTATGTATTTTGTATTTTGAAATAACATTTTAGCAATTAAAGTGCCTTCTCTAGGTTTTTAGTTGTTCTTTCTAAATTTTAAAATTAGAACAGTTTAGTTTATAGGATAGGTAACGATTTTAAGTCGAAAAGTGTGCGTTTCGGGTGTTTCACGGTCCTGACCATTGTTACATTTATTTGAAATTCAGCGAATTTTCTTAGGGAAACATTCCTAAAAATTACAGGCCCCCAAAAGTATAATATTTACTAACATAATCACTGTCACAAATAACGTTTTACTATTTGTTTTTTTATAAAATTTTACTTTATTTCGGGTGTTACCATGGTTCTGTTTCAGATTTTACAAGTACAAAAATTAACGAACCGTTTCGGGTGTTTTAATTAAGAAAAAAACATATCAAATTAGTCTTATGCTCGGATATTAGTTAGTATTTTAAATCATTACCACCATAACCTTACTTTTACTAAATATTATTACACTAATCCATCTGTAAGGTATAATAGTAAAACAATTACCTGATTTTTCGTTTCGGGTGTTACAGTGGCAAAGTAAGAAGAAAACACACTTATAACGTGATAATTATCAATTTTTGTGACGCAATCCACCAATACTAATAATCTTAAATTACAACGTGGAAAAACGGTTGACAGATTGACAGTTTTTTTTCGTATTTCCAATAGTTGGAGGCAATATGGTCATTCAGCTGTTCCCTTGAGTACATATTTTAAAGACCAATTAACTTAAAAATTACAAGTTTCTTCTAGTTTTTTTTTGTCGCACATTATAATTTGAAATGTTCTCTTTCAAAACTCGTCCAATTTAATGCGAAAAGAACATACCTATTTATTTTTTTACCCTCTGTACCGTTTGTATACAGGGTGTCCCAAAAATCAACGATTTCCTTTGAAGGACTGATAGACCAACTCATGACTAACCGGAAAATCAAAATATGACCTTAGTAAAAAATCGTTAGTTTTTGAGATATAGTCATTTTTATGAATTTTGTAAAACTTGACACCTTAGATCAGATTTTCGAGTGCCACAGCTACAAAATGTACTATTATTTTAATTTTGAACTGTAATTAATAACAGTCCTATTCAGGTTTACGCAAAATAAAATATAATCTAAGAATATAGAATGTTGTATACAACTATAGTTGTGGCCCTCGAAAAACTGATTTTATGTGTCAAGTTTCACAAAATTCATAAAAATGCCAATATCTTAAAAACTAATGATTTTTTACTAAGGTTATGTTTTGATATTCTTATTAGTCATGAGCTGATCTATTAGTCCTTCAAAGGATATCGTTGACTTTGGGGACACCTGTAAGTATATTGTCGTACAAAATTATTGGTTTAAATTTAAAGAGTCATTTAAATGATGGTAAATTATTGGGTTATATTTAAGAGTCATTTAAATGATGGTCGAAAAATTTTTAGTACAAAAATTCTCACATGACCTACATTTAAATGTGATGTAATTTTTGGATTAAAAATTTATCGACTATCATTTAAATGACTTGAGAAAAACTTTTATTTTTAACAAATTTAAATTGATAAATTTTGAAAACAAACCTATTCACATTGCATTTAAATGCAAGTCGACAATTTTTAATTCACAAAGTGTAAACGCGGCTTTAGCTGACTGCATATGCTGCAGACTTCGCGCTTTGTACGTTTCACCGACCATGGACTACGCTTAAAATTGACCGCTCTAAAAAGAGACAGCGTACGCCGCCTGCTAAAGCTACGTTTATATTTTGTAAGTTAAAAATTATCGACTTTGAATTTAAATGATGGTGGATAAATTTAAAAAGTCAATTTTAATACAAAAACAATATAATTGACATTCCATAAACTCACACCACGAAAAACCTGATAAAATAAACCCTCAAATTGATTGGTTGATGTTCGCGCCAGATGAACTCGGATGTTTCGGTGCAGAACGGCTCATTGGTACAAGACCCGAAAAAAATGAAGAACGGCACCACGTCCTCCTCCTCCGAGGAGGACAGCGACAACGGTGTCGACAGCATCCACTACAACACGGTATCGTCGATAAACGAGCTGCTGCCCCTTCAGCAGGAGAGCAGCTCGTTTTTCAGCCGCTACTTCCAAAACCACAGCAACAGTCTTCCGTCTCGGTTGATGGTAAACGCGCGAAGGCTGTCGCAGTGTAGAGAGGAGGACGAGGAGGAGGAGAAAAAAGAAGTGCCTTCGAAAACCTTATCGGCCATCACCGGAAGCGACATAAGTCTCAGCGGTGCTTCATCAAACGGATCCAAAACCTCTGTGATTGATACCGTGAACGGTCCGACTCACAAGTTCGTGATCACGAAGACCAAAGAGGATGCCGACAATGTCAGTGTCGCCGAGAAGAAAGAGAAGAAAAAGGTCACCTCCGAAGCTGCGAAAATTTTCGCCAGTAGAAAGCAGTACCGGCAAGCTAACACCGTTCACGGGGTTCCTTCGCTCGGTTCTAACAGACCCTCTGTGTACTCGGTTTTTAACAGGTCGCCCCTCGTAAGCCCGCACAAAGACTCGCGATTTTTCGATTCCTCCTTGGTCGAAATGAAGAGCCAGACTTCCAGTAGTTCCACCATCGATCAGGCTGGCAGTGCGGAGGACATATGGGTGAAAAGATCGGAAAAAGAGTCCAAAAAGGTAAGCACATAATTTTTATTTATTAAGTTAAATATTTGGTGTACCAATTAATATACAGTGACCGAAAAAATAAGGAAAAAATTCATTCTGTCCTGTCATATTCTCGTCAAAGAAGGCCTTTCTATTATCCGATTTTCCACCATTCCTGTCCACACATTCACTTTTATTGTATTGTATTTGTATTAGGAATTTGCCTAGTACACGGAAAAAAGCTATTCTATCATAATATTTTAAATGCAAGCACCCTAAAATAAAATATACACTATGCTTAATTTAAGAATAAGTATTTTTTGATACAAATGTTAAAATTCTTGGCGATATAATATTTACTTTTGGATTAAATATAAGGTGTTATGTAAGTTAAGAAATAATTGTTTCAAATATTATCTATTCTTTTTTTAACTTTTGCTCGACTTTAAATGAAGGTTAGGATATAATGACCATGTTTATTTCAAAAGGTAAAGAGTGTATTATGCTCTCTTTTTTACTGATAGAGAAAAATAGATAGGATAATCCACTCTATACCGTTTAAAATAAACATTCTCATTATAATGTATATATAAGGTATATCCTAACCTTTAAAGTCGAGCAAAAGTTAAAAAAAGAATATACGATATTCGCTGTGTCTAGTCTCACGCTAGCGTGAACGCAATTGAATACGTCAATGCAGAAACTGAATATGTCCTACTAGGTAGTTTTGAGATAACTAAGAAAAACTGAATACATATTCAGTTTCTGTACTATATTAACGCCTTTGTATAATGTAGATTACCGTGACATGAAAATTTCTACGCCATTCGATCGGGCACCCTTTACTTATATATAAATACTATAGTAAATCCATGTTTAACTCAATTTCCCTAAAAAGTGGACATATTCAGTTTCTGCATTGACCTATTCAATTTTATTCTTATTCTCACGCGGTGACGTCACTAATGGTAACATAACCTAAGATTCTTTCAAGAATCTAATTTGTTCTGTGAATCTAAATTTCGCGGTTTTGAGGTTTTTTAAACGTTGGCAGGCGGTTTGGCCGATTTGTGAAATCTGACCTGTTACAAGTGTACGTAAAATGTATTGCCATTGGCAAAAACAACAATAATGATGAGTTAAAACTAACTATTGGAAAATCGTTCATTTTGCCCATTTTAGTTGGGTTTTTTGCTCAATGGGGCGGGGGGGGCCCAATGGGGCGGGGTCGGTTGGGTTGTGTTGTTGAGTTTGGGTTGGTTTGGCTACAGTAAAAGAGTCTCGATTTTATTATTAGTAAATTTTATTACATTTACATAATCAAATCAAATGACATAATCAAATCAAATGACACGACACCTAAAAAGTAAAATTAAATAAAATAATGCTGGCAGAATTATGTCCACTACACATGGGCTTTTTCTATTTTCGCCCCCCCCCCCCTCAGTAGATGTCATGGGCAAAGTTGGCAGCCTTAGGTTTAACCAAAAACCAAAAGTTAACGAAGTAAACGTGAAAATAAAATAAAAATTATTTTGACGTGAGAATAAAAATTAAATTGCGTTCACGTTAGCGTGAGAATAAGAATAAAATTGCGTTCACGCTAGCGTGAGACTAGACACAGCGTACAATATTTGAAACAATTATTGCTTAACTTAACCTGAAAAAAATGATATTGGTTTATAGCATTGTCTTTATTACATAACTTTTTTACAATGTTTCAAATACCTATCTACCTATATATATATAATATATACCTACTTCAATGATTTTTTCAATCCTTTAGACTCGTTGATTTTGTTTGCTATAGCAAACAAAATCAACGAGTCTATAGACGGGCATTTTTTAGCTATATTGGCCTGTTTAACCAAAATTTTATCTAGAGCTATTAAATATTCTTAATTTCTTTTTATGTGATTCTTCGGCCAACCTAATATCACTCCAACATCTAAAATTCAATACATAAATATAATAATTATTATGTAATAATTATTACTTACACATACATTTGGTGGTTAATTCTATCAAATTCCAATAATTTATCAGCTCTTTCATAATTCCAAACCAAATATTAACTAACACAAGAAACAATCTTCCAAAGTGTCCGACACTTTCGTAACTGGGGGATATTTTTAAGAATAGGCCAGTCGTACCAATATTTACTAATCCAGTATAGTTTTCTAAAACAGAATAAAGGAAGTTTTCCTTATCGATTGTTAATCTTACAAAATTAAGAAAAAGATTATTTCATTTAAAGTATTTCTTATGTTATAACATTTAACAGGCAAGAATAGGATCTGCTTGTTTAAAGAAAGATTAATATTTAGTTTAATGTTAGTTTTAGCCTTGAAAATATTAGGTCAATCATCTTGTTTCAACTGTACTTGATTTTAAGCTAAGAAATAAAAAAAAATTAATTTAAGGATGGGTTAATATTGTGTTTTGATATTTTTTTAGAAATCCCAACAAGCTTAATTTTACTTTTATATTTTAAAGTTAATACTTATGACTTAAACTAAAAATAAATGTAAATAACGTAATAAAAAAATTATCAAACTAACCATTTACACAATTCCTATAAATAATGTCAAACAAAAAAGCGGTGGAATTCGTTTCTCTTATTAAGTAATCAAAACGATAATAACGATATAATTTTCGAAAACAATTGGAATTATTCGATCGAATAACAATATTTCCACTGGAAATACACCACATTGAATTATTGATACCTCCGATAACGCAATTATGAAATTTTCGTTTCATGTACGTTTGTTTTGATTTGTCACGAAATTATTATAAATAAAACAAAGCTTAATAATTTCGAATTAAATAGTGCAAAAACGAAAAGTATGAAGTACAAAAGTATTACAAAGTAAATAAGACAGTAAAACATAACATAAATTTTGGGTCATAAAATGCAATTTTCAACATTATTTATACTTAAAAATAGAATAATGATCAATATAGCAAGCAGTGCTTAAAATATATAATATTTAACAATACCCATTTAAATAATAGTATCAAGTTTGATAAACGCCATTTTATACACGAATTTAATTTAGGCACGAGCGAGCTTGCGAGCGAGTGCTTAAGTTAATGAGTGTATAGAAAAATTTATAAACGAGGTGCATACTATACTTTTTCAAATACTTATTATTATCTTAAAATGATTTAAATCAAAAATTTGTATAGAGCGCCATCTATGAAACAACAGGGGAAACTGTCAAATGTCACATTTTTACATTTTATAAACAGAATTATAAAGGTTATAAATCGAAATGTATCTTGAAAATTGACAGTTTTTCACAGTGAAAGTAAAGGAAATGTTTTATGAGGACTTTACAGTAGAGCCCGTGCCCAAATTTAAGTTATAGTTTACTGCCGCCGAAATTAAAAGGTCAGTACAATGTTCATATAAAATTTTCAAATATTGGCGTTGAGAAACTATTTAATATTTTTGTATTTTTGTATTGAGATAATAAAATAATTTTCACATTTAGTATTATTTTACAAGAAAGGTACTTTATTTTAACGATTGTATGACATTTGACAACTGTCAACTAACTTAAAACTAACTTCAGCCCGTGACTAAAAACCTGTTGCTAACTTCAGCCCGTGACTAAAGCGCCGTAAAACCACAACTTGTCAATGTGTATTTAAAAGGTCACTTAGTGTCATTGAAACATGTACGATAAAGGGCGTTTTAAAGGTGGGATTAGAAAAAAATAATTATGTATATGAAATAATAATATACATTTTTTAAATATACATTAAAAATGTCGATAAATAATTATTTTTTATCACAGTTGTTTACAAAATTGTAAATTACTCATTAAGTAATTAATTTATTTATGTTATGTCGAATAAATATTGCAATAAATAAAAGTATTTGTATTTACAAATACAGTATTATAAAGGTTGGGAAAATGAAATGGGCTTTTATTGTTTACAAAGAAATTTGCTGTTTAATTTTCTTCCAACCTGTATTTTACTCCCTGTAGAGTTTGTTGCCAAGCAGGAAATATTTTATTATGTTATTTAAATTTTGCTTCAAAGTTTGCTAAAAATATAAATATGTTTCTAGTGTGAGTCTACCTAATTTGTAAATTTATTTTAACGCTAAATATTTTTACCAGATATGTAAAGTAAAAACGTGTGGGTCTTTTTTTATTCCTAATAATTCTTTTATAATGATATTTTTAATTTATTATTGCTTTGTTGTGTTATAAAAAGGGACCTCTATAATGTTTCACAGATATTGTTGTGTAATAAATATATCACAAAGGTTTTTTAACCTTATTAAATTGACTTTAGTACTTAAAATATTAACACAAAAACATTTTTATATTTTTGATAGAAGGATAGACACTATTAGACACCCTGTTTATATTTTTTGAGTACTAAATCATTCTCACTTGCATATTTAATACAAAACACCTACATAACACACGTTTGTCATAAAATCAAATGTTTACCTTCGGAATTAAATTAAATGCGAGATTTTATGTCGCTAAGGTATTTTTAGTTTGTGTTAGTAATAGTTCCCCTTTATTTATGTCATTCCTCGCGGTTTAAGTGAAATCGTTACTTGCTATAATTATTATCATTATTATTAATAAAATCAAATTGTTTCACCGTTGCAATTTATTCTGTGTACACTGTATTGTTGGTGTAATTTATTACTGGTTAGGCGTTAAATTGTTGCGAATATATTTATTTTTTTCTATATTTGATAAGACACGTGTTTTTTATTATCATTGTAGGTATCAGGTGCATATTTTTGCATTTTAAAATATGCAATTTGTTATATTTAATTATATGATTGTATATTAGAAATTTATAGTTTTATGCAAAAAAAACAACCGTCACGTACTTAATAGTAGGTACTTTACATAACAAGAGTGGTAAGAAGCAAATTACGCAAGAGCAGTTTATGAAAGTTTATGACCAATCTTTGAAATCTTTTTGCTCAGATTTATTTTTTAGGACTAAAGCCTCATTTAGAACTCGTAATTAGTGGTTTCAATTAA